TGTGCAGTCATCTCACCGCCATCTCCAGAACTTTTCATTTTCCCTGTGAAACTCTGTCCCCACTAAACACTAACCCCCCTCCCCCCCCAGCTCCCGCCATCTGCCTCCAGTCTCTATGGATCTGACTCCTCTAGGGACCTCCTGTAGGGACTCACACAGTATTTGTCCTATTGTGTCTGGCCTATTTTCACAGAATACAGTGTCTTCAAAGTTCATCCACATAGTAGCAGGTGTCAGAATTTCCTTCCTTTTTAAGGCTGAGTAATATTCTATAATCTGGAGGGACCACATTTTGTTTATCCTCTTGTCTGTTGATGGACATTTGGGTGTTTTCACCTTTTGGCCGCTGTGAACAGTGCTGCTATGGATATGGGTATACAAATATCTGTTTGAGACCTGGCTTTAATTCTTTTAATTCCATCCAGAAGTGGAGCTATTGGGTTGCATGGTAATTCCATGTTTAATTTTTTGAGAAATCCCCAAACTCTTTTTATAGCAGCTCCCCATTTTTCATCCCAGTCAGCAGTGAATGAGGGCTCCAATTCCTCCACATCCTCGCTGACACTTGTCTTCTGATTTTGAGTTGGTCACTCTATTGCTAGGATTCTCATAATGACCAAGGTGTATGGGTGGCCAGGCAGGACTCTGGCTGCCCCAGAACCACCTCTCCCATGTCCCTATCCCATCCCAAACTATTTTGGGCCCAGTGACAGGCAGATCTGCTCCGTGCCTGTGCAAGGGGCAAGCCTTGGCAGGCCCACCAGGTGCTTCCTCCTGGTCCTGCTCCAGCTCCCACCTGTTCACCAGGACACAGTGACCTCAGTCACAGCTTGTCCCTGAGGCTGCCTTTCCCTGTGGCTCTCCACTCCATTCCTTGCATACACCACACCAGTCAGCAGACATTTTCTGCAAAGGGACAAAAAGTAACTATTTTCAGCCTAGCAGACTAGAGGATCTCTGTCACGGCTACTCAGCTCTGCCATTGTAATTTGAAAGCAGCCATACAGGGGTGGCACTGTGCCAATAAATATTTATAGACACTGAAATTTGAATTTTATATAATTTGTATATGTCATGAAATTTAAAACCCTTCCAATCATTTAAAAAATGTAAAATCACTCTTATCTCAAGGACTATACAAAAACATGCAGTGGGCTGGACTTGGCCCATGGGCCATAGTTTGTCAATACATATACTACACACCCAATAAACATTTGTTGAATGAACTAATAATGTTTAGTGTCCCAAATATATGTCCAGTTGATTAGCATGACAGTGATGTGCTGTTAATGAGCAAATGGGCATTAATGTAATTCTTATTAAAGTCACGTATGTTGAAAATGCCACTGAATTAAATAAAAGTCACATTGGATTTTTTTTATTAAGTCCTAAAGGATTTTTAGACAGCATTATTGAGATAGTATTAACATACCATACAATTTACCTGTTTAATGTGTACACTTCAATTTTTTTTACACCTTTACAGGGTTGTGCAGCCATCAACTACAATCAATTTTAGAATATTTTATTCTCCCCCCAAAGAAGCCCCATCCTCATTACCAGTCAGACCCCACTCCCCACTCCTCAGCTCTTGGCAACCAAGAATACACTTTCTGTCTTTGTGGATTTGCAGGGCTGGTTCCTTCTTAGGTCTCCTGGGCTTGCAGATGGCCATCTTCTCTCTGTGTTCCCACTGTATGCATGCGCCCCAGGGTCCCTCTGTGTGTCCAAATTTCTTTTTATATGGATACCAGTCATAATGGGTTAAGGCTTACCCTCACGACCCCATTTTAACTTAATCACCTGTTTAATCACTTCTAGATACAGTCATGTTCTGAAGTCCTGGGGGTCAGGGCTTCAACTTTTGAATTTGGGGGTCACAATTCAGCCCATGACAGTGTCTTTTTTTAAAAAAAAAATGTTTTTATGTTTTTATTGATTTTAGAGAGAGAGAGGAAAGGAGAGGGAGAGAGAGAAACATCAAAGGGCTGCCTCCTGCATGCCCCCTATGGGGAATCTAGCCTCTAGTTCTTGTTTGTTTGTTTGAAGTGAGGAGCAATTCAAATGTTGCTCCAATATACAAGGACTCTGGATTCTGAGTCATTAGGGACACCACTTGGTGAACAAGCGGGACCAGAACTCATGCCCTCCTGACCTCCAGCCTGCAGGCTCTTTCATTCTCTTCTGTGGCCCCCAAAAGACAAGCAGCTGGGATAAGCAACCATCCGGGTCTGCCTGGCTCTGAGAGTTCCTGGGGATGCATGACTTTCAGTACTAAAACTGGGGAAGCCCCCTGCAAATTGGCAAAGCTGATCACTCTCCTAGTGGTCTGGACAGGGTCTTCAGGTCAGGGGAAAGGGCCCATGAGGCCTTTGCTGAAATAAGCGCCAGGGACAAACCCGAGGCCCAGAAACCCATGGATCCTCCTGGCTCTGCTGCTGGTGGCTCTGCTGCCATCCACCGGTCCATCCCATCTGTTCACTTGCCTGTCCACTTGGCACTTTCTCCTCTGTGTCTTGCTCTCTGCTGGGTCTTGAGGCCACAATAGTGATGGGCCACGGTGACTGCTATGCCAGGTGATTTCTGTGTGCAGGAAAGCTGTGTTTAGAAGAAGCAGTTGCCTAGAAGACAGGCCAGATGGGAGGCTCCAGGCTGGGGCACAAGAAGTGAGCATTAAAATGGGACCCCAAACCCGGGGTGGACAGAGCTTATAGGACCAACCACCTGCCCAGCCTGTTCTGTGGCAGAGGGCAGGGGGCCTTCAAGCACACAGAACCCCTGCTCCATGGGCCTCCTTGCGGAAGCTTGGAGGGTAGTGGGGCTGTCACAGACGGAGAAATGAGGGGTCTGAGCCTTTCGAAGAGTGAGGGGCAGGGCTCTGGACACCCATTTGCCTTGCCCTATTGCCTTTTCCTGATGACTGCAAATATGGCAAGAAAGCCTGTGCCCTTTGTGGCCCCTGCAAAGGCTGGCCTGTGGCTGATGCCCCTTTCCAGAATCATGCCAGTGCCCAGATCTGATCCTCCCTCCCTCCCTCCCTCCCTC